CTTTTGCTTGAGTACTGCTTGTGGTTGAAGCTTTCCTCTTACTGAATTCCCAAAAATGTAGTTGTTGCCTAATGAAGGAAGACCTACTGCTTCCTAAGGAGTGGGTATGGATGGTCCTTATAATTTAAAACATTTCAACAACAATCTCCTTTTGGCAGCTGGCAAACACAAATGACATTCAGTCTCTTTGTCTTTTGTCTTCCGTGGTGACTTAAATGGTAAAGAATCTGCATGCAGTGTGGGAGACCCGGGTTCCATCCCTGGGTCAGAAAGATCCCCTGGAGAAGGAAATGGAAACCCATTCCAGCATTCTTGCCTGGAGGATTCTATGGACAAGAGGAGCCTGGCAGGCTATAGTCCATGGGGTCGCAAAGAGTCAGACATGACTGAAAGACTAACACTTTCACTACTACGACTTTCTCAACCCCACTTCTCACTGTCTGGGTTTAGAAGCAGTGCAGTCCTCCCAAACCTCTGTGTACTGGACTTGTTTACTAGATTGCTTAGTCATTGTGAACAAGATCTAATAGAATTAGAACTGCTTTTGAGAGTTGTTTGTCCCGAGGCTATCTTCACGACAATAAGATCTTTCAATGTGAAAGAGAAGATGTTGACCTTTTGGCATTAAGAAGTTCTGCTGACTAGGTGTGGAGAAAGGGTGTGTGGACACACGGTAGGGAAGGAGAGGTGAGCTGAACTGGGAGGTTGGGAGTGACATATATACACTACCATGGGTGAAACAGATAGTGGAGACCTGCTCTATAGCACAGGGAGCTCAGCTCTGTGTTCTGTGATGACCTAGATGGGTGGGATAGTGGGAGGGGATATATGCATGCAGATAGCTGATTCACTTCATTGTACAGCAGAAACTAACATAACATTGTAAAATAACTATGCTCCAATAAACTAAGAAAAAGAGGCTCTGTTGTCTCTAGTATAGAATTTTTTATATATCTTCTGCTTTATAAGGTACATCTTGCATGATATTTGTTATATATACTTCTGTTTTAATTTCCTTCTTGACTTTTTCTTTTTTGACCATCTCCCCTCAAGATATTCCCCTTTCTTTTCCTTGAAGTGAAGGCCGATGTGTAGCTAGGAAAGGGAATAAGGAATAGCTCAGTTTTGCATGCTTTCCCCCCTTCTCTCTTATTCTCATACTATTTGCTGTCACATAGCAAGTAGTATAGTGAACCACTTATCACTGTTTGCCCTCCATGTGTGTGTTCGTATTCATATTGATTAGTATGATAATTGTGATGCTTGGAGTCAGAGAGTCATTGTTTTTAGGACTAGAAGCAGCCTAGTGAAAGTTGCTCAGTCCTGTCTGACTCTTTGCGACCCCATGGACTATGCAGTCTATGGAATTCTCCAGGCCAGAATACTGGAGAGGGTAGCCTTTCCCTTCTCCAGGGGATCTTCCCAACCCAGGGATCAAACCCAAGTCTCCCGCATTGCAGGTGGACTCTTTGCTAACTGAGCCACCAGGGACGCCCAGAAGTAGCCTAGGAGATCACCTAACCTAAACTTTCTCACTGTTACAGGACAGGACACTGAGGATCAGAGTGTCAAGTGGTTTACACAAGTTCAGAAAGTGGCAAACCCAGATGCCCTGAGTGCCGGAGTATGGCACTAATGTCTATTGTGTGACATCTATGTTTCAGGTGCTGTCTAGTTGCTATCTCACTCATCATGGTAACCACCCTCTATAAACAATGAAATTGAGGCTCATAATACCTGATATCTTCCCAGCCCCAAACTGCAAAACCCTATTCAGCCTGATTGCTCACTCCATACTTTATCTCCTATCTCTTAGCTGTTTCTCCTTGTCCCCCAACAAGACCAAGTAGTAACATGTCCCATCAGTTTATAAGCTTATACTGGTAAGAGACACGGTTAAAAATACTGTTTTAAAAGTAGCAGACCCCTGTTCCTTTAAGACTTAGAAAACTAATCTATGAGAAATAAACTTTCTTGGAGACCTCATGCATGTCCCACAAGTTCATTAAAAACATCTTTTCAATACTACCCCATTGTAGAAAGAAGACTGTTAAGTATAAAATTTATGCATCGGTATTTTAATCAAGTCTGAAACCTCCTTCTTGGCTGCTCAACATGGGAGTTAAAAATCTGCATTTAAATTGTGGTTCTATAATATAAATCCCAAGGACCCAAGAGGCTCTTCCCCAGAGGAATGATATACAGAGAGTATGAACTTCTTGCTTATCTTTGATTCAGCTAGCTTTCAGAAAGCTCATGGATGAGCCGGAAGGAGGAACAGCTTTAGGAAATAATAAGAAAATGCTTAGGGGTTTGGTTATAGAACTTCACCTATTGATAAGATTTTTCCACTCATTCATGAAGGCTGAATCTGCATAATCTGACATGAATTATGGTGTGGGACTGCTAATAGGCAATTTATTCAACAGATGTAGGAAGGGTTATTGCTTTCTGTCAATAGTCACACTTATTTGTTTTGTGGTGACGTTGGGCAGCTGCTGGAGAAAGAGCATGGTCCCTTAAGAGTTGTGCACATGGGCTTCTCAGATGCTCAGACCTGGCTTAGGCTCTGAATGTAGGAACATCCAAAAGTAAAGGAAACCTCAGCTTAGGAATTGCTTTGGTCATAAAGAAAAACTGGGGGGTACATATGCGTACAGAAATTTTGTCACCCTGTAAACTTTTCTCCTGATAGTGCTGAAGATGAAGCTCCAATACTTTGGCTACCTGATGTGAAGAATCAGCTCATTGGAAAAGACCCTGAAGCTGGGAAACACTGAAGGCAAAGGAGAAGCGGGAAGCAGTGGATGAAATAGATAGCATTGCCGACTCAAGTGGACATGAATTTGAGCAAACTCCAGGAGACAGTGAAGGCCTGGGAGGCCTGGCATGCTGCAATCCATGGAGTCAGAAAGAGTCAGATACAACTGAGCAATTGAACAACAACAGGAACAAACTTTCTCCCAAAGTTTCTGCCTAGTCTCAAGCTTCTGCACTTGTGTACAACCTACACGTCACAATCAGGTTAGTTTCCCTAAAGCCAGTTCTGATGGCATGTGATTAGCCTGCATAGATCTATACCCCCTGACTTCACATTGACCATGGAATCGAAACACAGGTCTCTGCCTGGCATTTGAAGCAGTCCTCCACAATCTGAGCCCCACAGCCTTTCCATTCTGACCTCCTCCTTCTCTGGGTAATGAATCCTCATCCAAAGCAAACAGCTCTTCTCAAGTGTTCCTTGTACTCTGGCTTCTGCCACTGCTCACGTGGGCTCCCCTCCCTCTTCCTCTCCTTCTTCCCTCTGACTTTCCAGCCGCCCCACCAGCGCCACCTGGAGCAGACTCTTGTAAAAACGAATCACTCGGTGGTGCTTGTCAAAGAAGTGAAACCCTTTGGGACTCAGTTCCTTGCTGGAAGTGCTATGAGCATCAAAAGATATATGCGGAAATGCTTTTTTTGCTTGAGCTTTCTGAAGATGGAGGCAGAGGATCAGAAATGGATGAGAAAACGAGGTTGGACTGAGCCGGGGACATGTCCAGCCAGTAGGAAGCTGTGTGTCCTTCCCCGAGCTCCTGTTAGCCCCACTTTTCAAAGGGGACTTTCCAAGTCACTGGCAAATATCGAAATAACTTCTGGGGCCACTCAGGTCACCCAGAAAGGGGGCAATTGGATGACTAATCAGACAAGATCTGCTCATCTCCTCTTGTGTGCTCAGTCGCTCAGTTGTATCCAATTCTTTGTGACCCTATGGGACTATAGCCCACTAGGCTTCTCTGCCCATGGGATTTTCTTGGCATTAATCAAGGGATCGCAACCAGGTCAGACAAGAATACTGGAGGGGGTTGCCATTTCTTCCTCCAGGGGACCTTCCTGAACCAGGGGTCAAGCTTTTGTCTCCGGCGTCTCTGGCAATTGCCGGTGGATTCTGTACCACTGAGCCGCCTGGGCAGCCCACTGATTTCCTCACTTTCAGGTTAATTGCTGTGATCATAAGGCTCCTGTTTCTCATCAGCACCACCCTTTCCCAAACTCTGTTTTGTCTACTTCTGTGTGTTCCTTTTTAATGCTCCCCGGAGCTCCTACCACAGAACCGTCTTTCCTGAACTTAGTAAGACTCCAGATTTTGCTTTGCAAATAAATTTATCTTGCTGCACAATTGTCTCTTTCAATCTAGATTTTGGTATTTATTACACCTGCTTAGGGATAAAAAGCAGCTCTCTGCCTTGTCGGTTAAGTTTCGGGGTCACTCCTTCCCCTGCCCTTGCCATTGTCTCTCACGGGAATGAAGTCCTTTGAAGCTGACCTGGTTGCGATTTCTTGATTAATTCCAGGCTGCAGCCCTGCCTGGCTGTAATTGCAGCATGCCAAAGCAAAAATCTTAATGATTTACACCAAAATCAGATGCTGGAAAATTGCTTTTGACGATGCTATTGAAGAAGATTTCTCAGGGGCTGTTGGTGGTAAACATTACTTAAATGTAGCAGAGCTGTGTCATCTGGGTTTAGCAAAGTCAAAAAGTGACAAGTGGAAAAGTTGGCTGAACAATGAAAGGCAGTAGGGTTATATTTTTATTTAGTGTGGCTGTGTGTATATGTGTTGTGCTCACATCTTTTTAATGTATCCATTTGGATTAGGTTTTACCTCACATAACATTAAAATTTGGTATGAAATTCTTGAGGGCTTCCCTGGTGGCTTAGTGGTAAAGAATCTACTTACCAAGGCAGGAGACCTGGGTTAGACCCCTGGATCAGGAAGATCCCTTGAAGCAAGAAATGGCAACCCACTCCAGTGTTCTTGCCTGGAAAAATCCCATGGACAGAGGAGCCTGGTGGGCTACAGCCCACGGGGTCACAGACTTAGTGACTAACCAACAGCAGTGAGAGTCTTGAACTTTGTAGAAATTCTTTCTTTCTCTTGTAAAATAAGTAGTAGGTGGTGCAGGCCTGGTATGTGACCCTGTGAAATCCTCAGGGACCAAGGCTTCTTTGAGCACTCACCAGCCTTCGGTTGTGTGTTCCATCCTCATGGCCCAAAATGGCTGTGAGAGCGTCAGTCTACGCAGATGAGCGTTAGGTACGTCATGAGGAAGAGACGTGTGCGCCCCTGTAGGGTTTATAGAGCTGTGCTGGAAGTCCACAAGGCACTTCAGATAACACTCTGTTGGCCAAAACATAGTTCTATGGATACAGCTAACTTCTACAAAAGATGGGAATGTAATCTCTTAGTGAGGCAGCAAGGGGGGACCAGCTAAAATCAAGATTCTGATGTTAAAGAAGAGGGGGTTGATGGGTGTTGGGAAATAACTAGCAACGTCTGTCACACCAATCACTGTTTCCCATCATCCCTCAGTTTCAACTGACTTGTTTAGCCAACTTGACTCCTAAACTCATTTGCTTTTTCCCGCTTTTCGTTTGCTCCTGTGAGGTCTTCTCTGCTTGAAACACACGTCCTCTGCTTCAGCTAGAGACGATTACCTTTTCCGTAAATCTTAGCCTGAGTGCTCCCCTAAAAGAAAGCTCTCCCCTCTTGGAATTCCTATAACACTTTTCTTTGCCACTTAAATAATACTTTTCACACCTTACTTTATAGGACAATAATTTGCATATGCATGTTTATATGTTTTATTAATATATATTTATTAACTCTATATACTAGATTCCAGAGAGCTGAGAGTCAGTTTTAGGCACATGAGTAATACATGACTTTGCTATAATCATATTTACTCACTCAACAAAAATTTATTAAACAACTACCATGTGCCAGGATACTGTAATGGGCAGGCGTGACACGTCTCTTAGGGGAGATAGACTAATATGTAATTATGATGTAGAGTAGTAAGTGCTTAGTAGGGAACTTGCACAAAACAAATGAATTTTATCCCTTGCTTTACTTATTTTACAGTTCTAAATTGAGAAATGTATAAGAACAGTTAGTCTTATTTGTCTTACTTACTAGAACATAAACACATTTTTAGAAAACCACAGCAATGAGCTATGAGTATCTTGAAGTAATATGATATCCATATTCATAAGAATATCATCTGCAACAAGTAAATAGTACAAAATGCTTAGTGAAGATGGAGAATTTGGGCTTCAGCTGTTCTCCTCTCTCCCGCCTTCTCCCCTTCCCCTCTTCTCCTCTTTCTCTTCTAATTGTTTTCTTTTCCCTTGCTCTCCCAAAGGATGTGGGACAACATATAAAAATATAGAGCATGTAACAAGATAAAAATACAATTAAATATGAGTCAAGCAAGCCAGCTGGTATGTGATGTGCTTCCAGACTCAGCTTTCTTTATTTCCGATATGACAGGCACTGTGGCACCTTGAAAAGCACACTCAGCCTTGGAATCTGGAGTCTTGGGTTCAAGTTCTGGCTCTATGACATATCAATCCCACAATTATAAAAATCCCATCTAACTTTTTTGAGTCTCTGTCTCTTTTTTTAAAATGGAGATAAAATTACCTTCCCATCTCGTAGGATTGTGAGGATTCTGTTATCTAAACTATGAAAATAATTTGTGGTCTGTCAAGTGCTCTGTATATATACTTATTTTTAAGGAGATCCCTTTTCATCAACCCACTGACAATCTCTGGTTGATAAAAAAAAGTGAAGTGAAGTCGCTCAGTCGTGTCCGACTCTTTGTGACCCCATGGACTGTAGCCTACCAGGCTCTCCATCCATGGGATTTTCCAGGCAAGAGTACTGGAGTGGGTTGCCATTGCCTTCTCCAGAGGATCTTCCTGACCCAGGGGTTGAACCTGGGTTTCCCGGATTATAGGCAGACACTTTACCGTCTGAGCCACCAGGGAAGGCATTTTTGAGTTTTTGGGCTTGTCATTTCATAACATTTCAGTGGTGAGGTACCAGGACTGTAGTAGGCATACTTGAGGCCATCAGATGAGCTTCAAGGCCAGAAATCCTAATGACTGAGGCACACTGCTACTGATTACTCCCAACTTATAACTCCTCCTTCTCTAAGAAAAGCAAGAGGGAACTTGTGTCCACACCCCTGTGGTCTGTCAAGGGATGGATGGTGACTCAACAGGACCTAACAAATTTTATAGTGGGAACTAGTCTCAGGCCATTAAGAGCATTGGGCTGAGAATCTGGGCTTCCCTGGTGGCTCAGACGGTAAAGAATCCACCTGCAAGGTGGGAAACCTGGCCTCGATCCCTGGATTGGGAAGATCCTCTGGAGGAGGGCATGGCAACTCACTCTAGTATTCTTGCCTGGAGAAATCCCTGTGGACAGAGGAGCCTGGCGGGCTACAGTCCATGGGGTCGCAAAGAGTTGGATGTGAATGGACCTTCAAACACAATGTTGAGGGTCATTCCTTAACAAGGGCTTCTCAAAAGGACATATCTATTCAGAATCTTTTTTTGGTGTAAATCGTTGGTAGGCACGCCTATTTCCAGTAGTTTGGAAATCCAAAATCTATTAATGTGTTTTTCACCTTTTAAAAAAATCTGTATGTGTGTTTGCCATTAGTGGGTTCTGGAAATGATGGGATTGAAAGAAAGATATCCCTGTTTATGGATAGTTTTGCTAACTTCAGTATCTTGCTACCTTAGGAAGGTATAGGTTGACCAAGTGCCGGGGTTGAAAAGGAGCTAGAAGTAGATATTTGATGGCTGTTTCCCTCATTCCCCACTACAGAGAGGAGAATTTTGGGTCAATTATAATGCAATTTGCAAAATGGAAATAAAACCAAGTACAGCTATTTGTTTTACCTTGAGGGTGGTGTTTGATAATTGGGGGGAGATGTCTTCTCTTATCCTCACATAAGCACTGGTGGGAAGTAACTCTCAAATTAAACTTCAGGACAGGGAGGCAGGTGGGGGTAGAGCAGAAAGATCTGGGAACATTCCCTGTGGAACCAGCCCCAGGAGGGATCTGGGGAAAGCTAATCTTGACTACCTACCTACTTCCTCCCTCTCCGCAGCCCCTGCTCCACTGATGCTGCCTGGCGACCCTGTCCTTCCTCTCCTCCCCTTTCCCCATTTTGAATGACCTCCCTTTCAACATTTAGAACCATCCCTATAAAGTCCCATTTCTACTGTGCCTTATTTCAGATTGGTTTTGGGAAGGAATAAAGTAACCTGATGAAACTAACTTGAGGTCACCTTATATTTAATCTAATAATCTATGCAGGATATTAAGAACTTCTCCCCTTTCCATTGTAATAAACTCAAATGTAAACTGAGACTGGATACAGGAAAATACCCGATGTCTCTGCTGATGTATGCCCTCTATAAAATTTGTGGATTCTAAATATCAATTTGGCCTGACATTACTTCAAGGACTTCTCCCCCTCACCTTGGTTTATTTTATAAGTTGATTTGAAGTTATTATCATGGTTTTGACTTGTTACAGAAGATTCAATTTTATTCCTTGATGCAAAATGCCCTTCATTATCTAATAAGATGAAATTTATTTCATTCTCTCAATTAATTATTTCCCTTAAAATATAATTAGGGATGGAAAGAGATCATTTTATATTGTTAAAGCTGGTTGGTTTCAAAATCTTACTTCTGCTTCACACCAGAAAGCAACTTCCCAGGATATCTGGACTACTGATTTAAGTCCTGTGATCTTCTTAGAGAATTGCTGCATCCAGTGGGACTTAGTACCTGCATTTATGGAAAGGCTTTTTGGCTTCGCCACCCTGAGCAAAGTTGTATATAGAAAGGAAGTCAGTAAGTTTTCTGTTCAGTTAGAAACCTAGATACTTTTATTATTTGATATCTATCAAGATATTTTCTTGGAAATACCTTGACTTTAGTCACTTTTTGTTCTGGAGGAACTCATTGATTATTAATTTAGAGGATTAGACCTTACTGATTTATGTCTCCTTAAATTTGTGTTCTCAGATTCTGTGTTGACAAACTAGACTTGGAAGTTGTGCTTTGCTGCTAATTGAACATTTTAGCAGATTTAAAAATTAATGAGCCAAAACCTCTTCTTCTGGAATTTATTTAAAAGGAGTCATGTCCATCGAACAAGAACTTGTTTTCCTCCCCTGCATTTCCACCCTAAGGAAACCATATAATTCATTGAGTGTTTATAATGGTAACTGGCTGAGTGGTAAAAATGAGGTGGAATGGTGGATCTGAGTGATGCCACCCATCTGTTTGTCTGTTTTAATAAAAAGCATCTGTTACTTATTTAAAAAGGGATTTTACTAATGAGCTCACTTGATCATATCTCAGGGAGAGGTCAGAATTAAAGGAGGTTAATCAATTTAGAAAGACTTCCTGACCATTATTTACATTTGTTTGTGTTTTAGGATCCTCAGGGAGCCTTGGGGTACAACATTCAGGAGGCTTTGTGGCTATCATTAAAAGCTGAATATTCAGGAAGTGGCTTACATAAATGTTTTCTCTTCTTGAATCTGGCCCTATAAGTGGTAAATGCTTTATTTTTTCAGTCTGTTTGTGAGGAATCTGTTGCTTTTATGCCAAGGTTAAGTGAAAAAGAAGAGAGAAATGGGTACAGCTTTTCCTTTTGTGTACATCTGATAGAACTTATCATCAGCAATGGAGAATGCTCTTGGGAATGTTTTCCCAGGACTGACTTTGGATTACACCTAAATTCTTTCTCTTGGTCTTTTGATGATTAATAGCCCACAGTCAGTGAGACAGATAGCTAAGATTAGAGTTCAGCATCTCTTCATGGAACAGAGAGAAGGTACATCAGGCTATTATTCGTAACCTCAATATTACCATGCCAAAGAAACAGCTTATGTATCTATTGACAGGATTATTTCCATACTAAAAACAAAACAAAATGAAAACAAAATAAAGAAAAAAGTATAGGTCCATAATATACAACAACAACAGCCTTTGAGAATATAAGTTGAAGGGAGAGTGGTTTTCTCTAGGTCCCTGTGCAGGTCAGTCACTAAACTTATTGATGCTGGTGGCCCCATGACGGGCTGACCTTGAGATCGAAGGAAGGTAGGGCTGGAACTACAATAGGATAGGGTCAGAGGTCACGGCCACAGAGAGTGTGAGGGAAGACAGGCAAAACCTGACTTCTGGTCA